GCAATTTTCAACAACAGTTGTTTCCGTTTTTTCTTCTTATTTTCGTAATCAATTCCCTTGAATACAACTTTCTCAGTTTAAAATAACCAAGAATCTACTGTTTAAAATAACAGGGATGTCAAGTCAAACACATATACCCACTAAACATAAGGTTTAAAATAATAATAATATTAATAATAATAATAATAATAATAATAAAAACACATCCACCCACATATATATATAGTGTTTTGGAGTATATATTCAGTCTTTAATTTTCAAAAAGGATCTGGGAACATTTGCAAATACGCGGTTCTGTTTATTTCCCTTCAGCGTGTTAGAATTATAGAGGAAACAAAAAGAAATATAATTTTCAAGTTCCTTTTTGAAGAAAGGCGCTAATTTAGGCGAATGTAGTTTTGCGATTGTTTTAAACAAAGAAACATATATTCAGAGAATTGATTCAAAAAATAAGGAATAGAAAAAAACGAAGTTATCTTTAGTCGAAAATTTCGTTTGCAATATTATGAGATGGTTCCAAGAGATGATTCCAGTATTGCTCATTACTAACTATCTATTTCTCTCTCTCTCTCTCTCTCTCTCTCTCTCTCTCTGTATATATATATATATATATATATATATATATATATATATATATATATATATAAGTATAAGATTAGTGTAGGCGGAATAAAATTCCAATAACCAAAAACGCTATTCTGAAAAGAGTGCTCAGTAGAGCGCAGAGCAAATATTTATTCAAAAATTATAATATAAACATGTTATAACATCCCTTCAAAAATATACATTTTGTTTAAACACTTCTGGTGCCTAATCAAGTGATAGCTTTAAATGGAGTTTCGACCTTCAACATTCTAGATTCTAGAGTCTTCATTCAACACCATCACTTAAGAAGACACCAGAAGTGTTGAAACAAAATAGGTATTTTTGTAGTGATATTATAAAATGTTTATGCTATAGTTTTTGAATAAATAATTATATATATATATATATATATACGCACACAGTGTATTTTTAATTTCGCGCATGCGCGTTGTTTGTTTTTTAGTTTGTCGACTGCACAGTATAGTAAGGTCAGTTGGCCACCGTCTGTGAGAAAAAAAACAAAACAAAACAAAACAAAAAAAAACACTATAACGAAATTCAGCCAGAAAATTGGAAACGGCATGCTGTACTGCTTTGCCTTCGCGCCGGGAGCTACAAGACGGATATTTCACAGTGTTTAGGTGTCAATCTGAGGACTATGCTGAGTATCTGGAAAGAGTTGGATTAGTCTAATGGTGATTACAAAAGTTTGGCAGCTCGGAAAGCTGACACCGATCATTCTGATAAGAAAAGAACTCGAATTTGTTGGTGAGGGCCTCAGATTCAACACGAAAACCTACATCAAGTGCCTTGAGGAGGTAGTACTGCCTTGGGTAAGAGGGCGGCTGCTGGAAGACACTATGTCTGGTAAAAGGACTCTGCCCTATGCCACACAAGCAGGAGTCCCAGTCATAGCTGTCAGACAATTTCTCCGACCACATCACCCCTTACACCTGGACAATTAACTCACCAGTCTTCAACACATTTGATTATTATTTGCGGGACGCAATTGAGAGAAAGACCAAAAAGAATCCTTTTAACACCTAAGACGAACTGCAGGAAAGGATTATGGCAGCATTCACCAATTTATACATGGAGAGCGCTCACAAGAATTGCTGTAGATTGCGAAGTCGTCTGAAGGCCGTATTTGTGGAGACTGATTACTCATTATTAAAAGTACATCGTTTTATATATATATATATATATATATATATATATATATATATATATATAATTATTTATTTAAAAATATGATACCTTCACTACATAAGAGTTCTCATGTTTCAAAACAAGAGCCTAACACTTCAATATAATTATTAGAATTAAATTGAATTGATGCAACAGAGCTTGGTACTTAAATTCAATTTAATTCTAATAATTATATTGAAGTTTTCGGCTCTTGTTTTGAAACATGGGAACTCTTATGTAGCGAAGGGATCATATTTTTGAATAAATAATTATATTTTAGGCTCTACTTTTGTATCGAACACTATTTTTTTAAAATAATAACAAAAATACTAAAGAATTTTGGATTATTTACCTAACGAGTTCTTTCCTATTTTCTATATATTTTTCACACACACACACACACACACATATATATATATATTGAAATGTTAAATTAATCAAAATATTCAACGTCTAATGCATGTCATGATTTTGTCATTTGTTTGCTCAACTCCCAGATTTTTAAAGACACGTCGCTGTCTTTCTCTATCAAAAACTATTTTATTCGTTTATTTTTAGACAGATGCGCTTATTATTATTTCCCTCTCTCTGATTCTCTCTCTCCCTCACATAAACACATACACGCTCACACACATACGCCGCACCCCACCCCGAATAGTCAGTCTCTTAATTGCCATACGTGATACACGCTTGGGCGATCTGAGAACTGATATTCCCGCAGTAGGCTGACGTTGCTTTTTCTAGTAGAGTGGTTATACATAAGGCAATAAATCCCTGTCTGCCCTGTTATTCAAGTCATATCTGGAGGGTAAAAGGTGGATTCATATCTCTCCCAGGCTTATTTGCGCATAAGAACCTGACTTGAATTCAAACTCTGTTCTCTAATATATCATTTCGACCGTTTTTCTGTACTTATATATATATATATATATATATATATATATATATATATATATATAATAGCTGGCCACTCGTACTAAAGGATACCTGTCTACTAGGGTGGCTAGCCAATCCCTACTGCAAACTCTCGCTCAGGCACATTTCTGTTTGTTCAACACCCACAGAGCCAACCTGTAGTTTATACTACAACTATGATGTGCAGACCTTAGTTACAGTTTCTGGAAAACTGCGCACACACACACACATGTATATATATATATATATATATATATATATATATATATATATATATATTTATGACTTTTTAAATGAAATCACATATTCAAGCAAAATTAAACATAGTACATAAATAAAAGACCCTTTAAGAAGAAAAACATATACAAACAAAACAACTTCTTAACTGTACCAACCTTACATTATAAATTACAATCCAAATTAAATTTTAAACATTTAAATGGCTTTTATATATTTATTTTAAATTAAAAACTAAAATAAATTTTAAACGTTTATATGACTTTTATATAATAAATTTTAAACATTTATATGACTTTTATATATTTATTTTAAATTAAAAGCTAAAATAAATTCTAAACATTTATATGACTTTTATATAATAAATTTTATAACATTTCTCTAACTTTTATATAATTATATTAAATTAAAAACTATTATCAAACAACATCACAAGTAAAATAATTATAAGCCAATTCACAGCTAACCTAACTAACAGTAATTTACAAATACTAACCTATTTAATACCTTAATTAAGAACAAACCACTAAGAATAGCATTAAAACTTTTATATAAAAGTAATATAACATAAGAAGAGAGAGTGATTATTGAGTTATAAAGTTTAGCAATATTGTAAGGTTAATTCTTTAATGTGCTTACAATTCACTGTAGTTTCAGTCGCTATTTAAGAGTTTAATTATCTCAAATTTCTCATTCAGACAAAGGAAGCACGGTTCAGTGACGGATCTTTGGACGTCGAAACAAATATGCAATTTGGCGCGGTAACTTGCATGTTCCAATGTGTTAACATATTTATTTTATATATATATATATATATATATATATATATATATATATATAATGTAGAAAATTGATGAAGAAAATACCAAAATTTTCTTTCAAATAATTTTTATTTTCCCTAAGTACTTTAAATCACATCAAACAGAAAAAAAAAACACGTGAATTTTGAATCTGAAATCTAGAACATAAGCATAACGCAGTAAAACGAACATGTTTGTGTGTGTGTGTGTGTGTGCATTTTTTCATCCTTGGAACTGATGTCTGATGGTCCAGAGAAAACGAAAATCTTTGGTGAAATAAATTATAACAATGAAAGCTTAAAGTGGTCTTTTTTTTCTTTAAATTAAATTATTTGCTCTGATTTAACATTGAGCTCTCCGGATCTGATTTCATCCTCCTTGGGATTATCCATACGGATTACCAAGATTTTCATTACATATATATATATATATATATATATATATATTACCATCTGCAATTTTTTATCATAGTAGCATAGTAGCATATTTAAAAAGAAGTCGTCAACTGTGCCCGGATGAAGAATAGAGAAAAACAATGTCTGAAAAATATTCATTTTTGAAAATTGGAAATTGTTTTTTGCTGTACAGCAAATTCCTCTTTAGTCTGAAATCTATTGCTATATTACTGGAACTCTTTTATTCTGAATTTCACAGATCATTAATTAAACTTGTGAATATTTCCTGAAGTTGAAACGTGTAAGTCCAAATTTCCTCGGATTAAATATCGTCTTCCTCGCAAAACAGAATGTTGGTGGAGACGAATCTTTACGGGTCCTTCAATAAACGCACCTCGACTTCCATTTGTAGATTGTTAGTCAAGATGCAGATATTCCACGTGTGCAATGATGCGTGAACATTTTGCTGATGGCGATGCTTTACCACGTAATAAATCAGGGAAGATTGTCACTTCACTTCTGAATTGAGTTCAGTAACTTCCTGACAAGATTTTCGCGAATCGCTGGACAATAAATGTCTCAAACCTGCTTTACATTAAAACAGTAGAGAGTCAATATAATACTAATAAATACTACTACTAATAATAATAGAAGAAGAAGGAGGAGTAGGAGGAGGAGTAGGAGGAGAAAAATGCAACTGTGACGACTGCAACGTTAACTGTCAGTAAGTCCATTTACTTAGTTTAGGGTTGATTTTAAGGAAATATATGTTAGTTGGTGGCTAAAGAGGAAAACGCGTTTTGCTGTTAAATTATTATATAGGGAGGTAAATGTATTCAGTGCAAAATGATAAGTTAAGATGAATGGGAAAACGGCGAAATTAGTTGATGTATAGAAAGAAAGAAAGAAAGGAAGAAAGAAAGAAAGAAAGAAAAAAGAAAGAAAGAATACAGACGAAGGACAGTACCAAGAAAAAAAGCAAAGAAAGAAAGAAAGAAATAAAGAAAGAAAGAAGTATGAAAGAAAGAAAGAATATAGGGGAAAGACAGTAACATGAAACAAGGCAAAGGAAGAAAGAAAGAAATAAAGAAAGAAAGAAGTATGAAAGAAAGAAAGAAAGAAAGAAAGAAAAAAGAAAAAGAAAAAAAAGAATAAGAGGAAAGAATAACATGAAACAAGACGAAGGGACAATAACAAGAAACAAGGCAAAGAAAAAAAAAGAAAAGAAAAGAAAGAAAGAAAGGAAGAAAGAAATAAAGAAAGAAAGAAAGGATGGAAGGAAGAAATGAAGAAAGAAGTAAAAGAAAGAATAGCAAGAAATAAGGCAAATAGAAAGAAAAAAAGAAAGAAATGTGGAAGAATGAAAATAACAAAAAGCAAGGCAAAGTAAGAAAAAAAAGAAAGAAAAAAATGTAAAAAAAAAAACAAGGAAAAGCAGAAGAAATGTGGAAAAAAAGAAAGTAACAAGAAATAAGGTAAAGAAAGAAAGAAAAGAATGAATGAAGAAATAAATGTGGAAAGAAAAGAAATAAGTCAAAAGAAAGTGAGAACTTTGAAAGAAGGAAAGTAGCAAGAAGGAAGGAACAAAGAAAAAAGAAAGCAAGAAGAAAAGAAAGACAGAAAGATAGAAATAAATGTGGAATAATAAAAATCACAAAAAAAGGCAACAGAAAGAAAGAAAGAAAGAAAGAAAGAAAGAAAGAATACTTTCACCCGAGAAATACATGGGGGGAGAAGAAAAGAAGAAATAAGTCAAAGAAAACGAGAAATGTAGAATGAAAGTAACAAGAAAGAAAGCTAAGTAAGAAAGAAAGAATGAAAGAAATAAAGGAAAGAAGAAAGAAAGAAAAGAAGGAAAAAATGAAAGAAATGTTGGAAAAGGAAAATAAGGAAAAGATAGAAAGAAAAAAAGGCAAAGTGTTGTGGTAGGATCCACCTAATTTGCATAGTGGAGTACCGACCATATAAATATGGTTGATACCGGGAAGACGGGGGGAGGAATCAAGAGATTCAATCCAGAGACTCTGCCCGATTGCGACTAAGTTAACACATTCTCCAGGAACGGTCTTCCCAAGAATATACAAAAGACTATATGTAAATATTGTATACACTTTCTTGTTTCAATACATTTTGTGATGTATTATTATTCCATGCATTAGTCAAGTTTCAACACAAAGAATGAAAGGTAGACAAATGAAAGAAGAAGCATAAAAAGAACAACAAAACAAATTAAAAGAATGAAAGAATTCTAAAAAGCGAAGAATGAGTTTAAAGAAATAGAGAGACTGAATGAACGATTAAATGAATATAAATATGAATAAGAAAAACAAAAGAAATAAAACGCAAGATAATAATTGGAAAGAAAGAAGTCGAATAATAAATAGAAATGAATATCGGGAATGAAAGAATGAATGAATGAAAAATGAATGAAGATAAAATGGAGATGCACAAAAAACTCACGTAAGAGATGAATAATATAAATAAAGAATGCATGAAAGAAAGAATTCTGTAACGCAAAGAATTATTTCAGAAAGAAAAGAAATGAATGAATGAAGATAAAGCCATATACACTGGGAAGAACAAGTGCCAATAAAACGAGATGATGAATGACTGATTAAATGTAGATTAAAATGAATGGTAAGGGAGACATTGAGATAAAATGAATGCAAGAAAGAAAGAAAGAAAGAAAGAAAGAAAGAAAAATGATATATAGAACGAATAATACATATGAAGAAAGCGAGAATTAACAGAATGAATGAAGATAAAATATTCTATGAACTGAAAAAATAATGGCGAGGTTGGATCAAGAAATAAATGAAAATAAAAATAAAGAGAAAAAAAGAGAGAAAAATTTCTCAAAAATAAATGATTTAAAGAAAAAAAAGAAGAAAAGCCGTATATATGTGTATGTGTTTAGGAGGGTGCATTTCTGTGTGTGTTTCTGGAATTCTGAAGAATGAAGAATAAAGCACAAAAGAAATACGTAAATAAATATGGAACCCTAGGAGAAGTTGGAAAAAAAAAAAAAAAAAAAAAGCTTTCATCCAACGTGAACCGGATGTGAATAGCCATCTAATGAGAAAGATGTCGGATGGGAGTTTTCTGATAATCCTTCATTCGTTTCTGTCTGTGTCAGTTGCAAAATGTTTCGTTTATGTAAACTGATCACTGCGGTTCAAAAGGAAGAAGATAGGAAAAATAAGAAAGGGACACATGTCGACTTCCACCCTCCTCGTTATATCAGTCAATCATTCTCTTAGTCTTTTCTTTGTCTATTTAGGAAGACGGTTTTGTTTCGTATTGCATGTTTCACTTCTGTTGTACGAATCTCATTCATTGGATTCCGTGCAGGCTTTTAGATGACAGGACAGATGCAGTATGGAGCAATATCGGAATAGGCCTATGCATCTTATTTAGTAAATTACTCGTAAATATTTTCTTTGGCTTTATTTTCGAAGAAAAAGAATTTTTTTTTGTAGAAAGAAAAAAATTAAACAAAATAATATGAGCAACATCGGAAAAAGAAAGAAAGAAGAAAAGTAGATAAAAATATAGAATGAAAAATAAATAAATAAATAAATAAATACAAGACCTGAGTAAAGAATAAAAAAAGAACAAATGAAATATAGCATAAAAGAATGAAAGTCGTTAAAGAAGACGCGAAAGAAAAAAAGTCAGTAAATCAATAAAAAAATGAAAGATAAAGTGTAACGCTACAGAAAGCGCTTATCTCCCTTTGGTGAAGATAAGTTACGTGGCTCATGTGACGGCTGCTTAATGACGTCACTTCATACAGTGACGACAGTGGGTAGTCATTCAGTTCGTTTACAGCAGTTAAACGAGAAGGTTGCTTTCATTAGCCCAGGCCTCCCAGGTCGCTTACAAGTCTATGGTGCTGTTTCTCTTTACCAGATATAGAATAAAACTCGCAGTCCTCAATTTGGGAAAACTCAAGATGTCCTCGCCTGGGACATAGATGAATCCGGCCCGTTTGAATCTGGAGTCCTAAAAATGACTCCTTCAGACTCAGGAGTATGTCTGCATTATACATAAGACCCTTCCTTTTGTTTCTCCTTACACTTTTCTTTGCTGTGTAGATATATATGATATATTACTCTCCACGTGGGACACATTTGTATATATATATATATATATATATATATATATATATATATATATATATATATATTTGGTTGGATAGATGTGAGTTTGTGACTCTGGGTTTCACGCTTTAGCGATCGTCAGACAAACTGATTATATTTTTAAAAATTGGGGTTTATGTAGATTGCGTGTGTTGGTGTTATTGTGGAAGTGGTGGAGGAAATGTCATCGTACTGACATACATCATATGGAGTACGCAGACATATATACATACTTGGTCGTCCGTCGGGATTCATACATATATAAACATATGTGGGCAGTTTCGGATATGACATATATATGTATACGGGTGGTGTTGTGTCTATATATACGCATTTGTATGTTGAAATTCAAAGATTGGGAGTGTAGCGAACATTTCGTGAATGTCTCGTGAATGTATACATGTCATATTTTATTTTTCCACTGAATAATATTTCCTCGCATGTATGTATGTGTGGTGGGGTTTGTGCAAAATTATGATAGGTAAAAATTATTATTATTTATTTTTAAATTTTTGAAAAAAAGGGGGTTTATTTGTTTTATTTAAAGCTGGTTATTTGTTTGTTTTTGATGACTGTGTATATGTAACAGGTAGAATTGTTTTGCGTCAGTACGATGACATTTCCCCCACCACTTCCACAATAACACCAATACACGCAATCTACATAAACCCCAAATTTTAAAAAAATTATCAGTTTGTCTGACGATCGCTAAAGCGTGAAACCCAGGGTCACAAACTCACATCTATCCAACCGAATATGTTAGCTCTATCTCTGATATTGAGCGCTTTTTAATAATAAGTACTATGCATATAATATATAAATAATTATATATATATATATATATATATATATATATATATATATATATACACACACTTTTCACACATATATATATATGGTTTTGTGTATGTCTTAGTAATATAAAAGTCTCTCTGAGAACAAACGTTTTGTAACCTAGAAAAGGTTACTGAATGAGAATAACCAAAACGGAGGTTGGAAATGGAATGATAATCTTTATAACTTCAACAAAATACAATACTCGCCAGCGGCGTGAAATAGGTAAACCACTGCCAGTGGTGGACTATAGACAGCATATTACCCCCCCAACACCTCCACTTACAATAGTGTCCAACGTATTTATGAGGACTGGGACATATCTATTGTTGTTCATAGCTACGGTATATAATAAAAAGGGAAAAGTAAAAGAAAACAGAACAGAAGCCATGTTAGAAAAAGAATTAAGGGATGTTTTTTTTTTTAAATTATTTTAATTCAAACGAGGCAATAAAGCCACTAAAGCTGAGAATGAAAAACTCCGAGAAATAAAAAAACAAACAAAAAAACATTATTTAGGAAAGAGAACAATGAAAGAATCGAGATGCCAAAGAGGCAGAAGTTGGTGACTGACATTGCCTTTAATGTTTTGAAGATCAAAGTTGCCTTGAAAGCAAGATGTCTGAAAAGATTGCCGAAAACGAGAAGTACGAGAGAGGAAACTGTTCGCGTTGAATGGTTATATCTGGTAAATTACGACTATAAAACCTAGCTGCCAATCTAGTACTGACCTTATATTGGTAAACTGATTGGTTATTTTACGGATTATCAACCCTTTGCAGATTATTTAAAGCCAGAAAATATTTTTAGATTGTAAAAATATTTTGGAGCCAATAATGATATAATGATACAAATTATACTAATTAACCCAAGTCTAGTAGATCCATACTTTTTCCTATTTGTAAGTGAATATAAGGAAATCAAAGAAAATTGAAAAGAAAGACAAGAAAGAAAGACGGAAGTATAAAGATAAAGACGTTGAGAAAATGGAAAGAAAGAAAGGGAAAAAAGAGAGAAAATATTAAAAGAGAAAAAAGAAGATAAGAAAAATGCAAAGAAAAAAAAGGAAGAAAGATAGAAAGATAAAAGGAAAGAAACATGGGAAGGATGAAAAGAGAAAAAAGAAGATGAGAAAAATGGAAAGAAAGGAAGGAAAGAAAGAACGAAAGGAAAGAAAAAGAAAAAAAGAAAAGAGAACATTGAGAAAATGGAAACTTAGAATTAGTGATTGTACGAGAATAGGTGTTTCAAAGTAATGTGACCGTAAGCCAAATGAAATAGAATGAATGATTAAAAGAAAGGAAAGGAAGAATGAAAAAAAAAGATGGATAGAAGGAAGTGAAAGAAAGAAGGCAAGAACTATCGAAAGAAAGATGGAAAAATAAAATATGCAAGAAGAGATAAATATAGAAAAAGAAAAGAAAAGAAAGAAATCATGAACGTTGTCTCTGTTTGGTTTAGTTTGTTTTGTTTTACGGCTTATCAACCTCAATGGGTTATTTAATTGTGACGTCACTCCGGGGTCGCTGCGCCAAATGTGACATCTGCCTGGCCGCGCCCGCCGTGCTGTCCTGGTCGCGGCGCCAATTGTGACGTCACCCCGTCTGTCTCCGCGCCGTCGCCGTCCTATCCTGTCCTGTGACGACCAGTGTGACTTGGTATTGGTTGCGGCACCAAATGTGACGTTCTAACCTTTTGCTGATTCGGATGAGAATCTGGTTAGAATCGGTATCAGCCTTGTCGTTCCCAGCTCGCCTTCAACGTCTGGTTATCGAAGTAACTGTTTTGACTTCTAGTCTAACCTACCCACGTTGTGATTTGATCTTAGGTAGACGAAATCAATCAGTCGCTGGGCCGTAATGCAAGTCGAGTCCGAACAAGGGTAATACCGCACAAGTATATGTAAAAGAAAATAAAGTAATAACTCGAAAAGTTCAAATGTGTTAAAAAAGGATAACAATATTTTATATCTGGTTGCTGAATACAGGACTGCGTCTTCCTCCCAAACCGCTAATATGGATTCGTGACACTTTGCGTTTGTTAGGCGAGTCTTAACATCTTAAGTTGTTTTTTCGTTAAGGAACTGGTTCTTGGTGTATCTTCAGGCGATATTCGTAAAACTTGTTTTGGTGGTGTGAGTCTAAGTCGTTCTTCAAAAATAAATTGAAAAACCGGGGTGGGCTTGTCGGGGTTTGAGGTTCCTTGATAATTCTAAATCCGCATTAAGAATTTTCTTTTTTTTGGTCAGGAAAACCCATCACTTTCCATTTTTGGAAATCTTTTACTTTCTACTTTAAGGGAATGGTCCTCCCAATTTTTTCCTTTCTCATATGGGTATCTCACCCAATCCCTTCAGAGGCATCAACAGGTTTCCCCTCTCTCTTACAGTGGCATCTCACACCAATCCCTTCAGGGGGCGTCAACAGGCCTCCCCTCTTTCTTCATAGTTTACCTTCGCCTACCGCTCACACCACCCTTCAGCCAATGAACGCTCAGCGGCGTAGGTGTTTGCAAATTATCGCTCAAAGAAAAAATAATATCTTCTTTCCTTTTTTTCTTTTCTGTCTCTCTCTTCCCCGAGCAGACCTCACGCGATACTTAATCTCTATCTTAACCGAATCCCATCTGGAGTTCATCAATGGAGACTTTTCGCCAGCGTCAAGTGGGTGGTTTAACTGGACGTATTTGCATTCTGTCGCTAATTAACTGTTCCGATAAAATAGTTTTTTTTTTATCATGGCCAGCTCTTGACATGAAACAGGTGCCTTTTCCAAACGACATCTCCGCAGATAGCTAATGGCTCAGTCTTTCTTTCTTTGTAACTTGGATGGTCCAACGGACATTTTGTTTTACGGTCAGTGCGTGCTTAATTAATATTATCTCTTAGCACTCTGTCCCGTAGGCCACTCGACCAATTTATCTTATCTTATTCGCCGCCCCGTAGCATAAATCCGGTATCTTACTTTCTTCGCTAATGAGAATAAAATCTTTACCACTTTTCTTTGTTAGAAAAAAAATAACATCGCTCAGTGTCTTTTCGTGATAGATTCTTATCACCTAATTTAATTCTCGCCTGTTTTTCTTTTTTCACGCAACCCTAAATAGTGTCACAAATGCCGATGATATTTTTATTGCTGGTAATATTTTTTTTAAAAATGTGTTGTTGGTAATATTTTTTTCTTCACAAATGTATTACTGGTAATATTTTTCCTTCAAATATGTACTGCTGGTAATAATGTTTTAATGATAATAATTTTTTCTTCAAAAATGTATTGCTAGTAACTTTTTTTTTCAAAAATGTATTGCTGTTAAATTTTTTTCTTAAAAAATGTATGGTAATAATGTATTGTTGGTAATAATTTTTCCTCAAAAGTTATTGCTGGTATTAAAACTGTTTTCCCATAGTTGGGACCCTAACAGGTTCTACTACTCGGTTATCAGGGTGGATCTAGGAACAACAGCAATAAAGTAAGTTGTCTCACGCTCTTCAAAGTCTGCTAATGGACATAATTTATCGTCTTACCCAGTGGTAACTGTTCTAGCGAGACAATCTTGCTAACCAAATACCTCGAGGTGACCAAATATTACTATTTTCCGAACTAAGCTTGGAAAATGGCTATATTTGGACAAGGCCGAAAGTATGGATCGCCTACTAAGGATCGAACTTACTACTTAGTCGTAATTGCTTTCGTGAGACAAGTTTTCTAACCATTACACCATCTCGAGGTGCCCAACAGTTGATGTAAATATGAGGCTTTCCATTTTTGTCTTTCTTTGAAAAGTTTACCCTAAGACACCGCAGATATTTTTTGTAAAAACTGCTGTCGGTCGTTTATAAAAGCATAACATTTAAGAAGTGATACAGATAATTTTTAAAAAATGGGATTATTTTGTTAATTCCCCCCAAATAAAAAAAAGAATATATATTTACTAAAATTCACACCGAAATGTTCTTTAAAATTTTTAAAAAAGCATTCATTTTTATTTTTTTGCCTTACGTCTCCAAAGGAAGTCACACAAATAAGAGTTTATCATTTTGTGATGAATCACGAAGATGGACTTGTTCCTCATTTTGGCGCCCTGCAGATACTTTTGATCGTTTCAAGGATGTCCTTTCCAACAATCCGACATAATCGTAGTCCCAGGTGAAATACAGCTTTGGATTGCGTCCGGTAATGTGGAAGTTGTCCTATCTGGCACACAGTACATGAAACATGCCTTCACGACATATACCCCCGCCCATATAACCATTGGTTTGGCAGCTAATCCTAACCTCAATATTTAATAAAAAGTCAGACAAACTTTAATTTAAAATTCATAATTTCTTTTATTTAATGAGTAACTTTAACTTAAATATATCGACTTGACAGTTATTATGAGACAGTGGTTGTGATAGAAAAAATGAAATAAAAATATTTTAGAAAAATAGAGAAAAAAATAAATTAACCCAAACAGATTACCAAATCACACCTGTTAAAATAGACGAAATAGAATAACAAATAAGAGACAAAATCAATGAACCCAAATAAATAAACTAATTAGCAAACCATTATGACCAAAATATTAGTTAGACTATAAAAATCAAACCAAAAATCGGACGAAAAAAGTAGCTAAAACTGTTATCTAACAATAAAATAGAAAAAAATACTACGTTACTTAAAAATCGAAAACCGAAAATATAAACAAATTTATAACAAATAAATAATAACAAGTAAAATAAATTGATCTAAATTCATCCAAATAAATAAATATATTAACAAATAGATCCTGATAAACTAACCGTTAGAAAAAACAAAGATAATCAATCCAAATAAATACATGAAACAATACACAAAATAAAAACTGTTCCCGCCAAAATAATAGTTCGAATAAACTACAACAATCAACCCCAAAAATTAAATAAATAGCTTTAATTATCTTCCCAAACCAAAACAAAACTATTAAATAAGCGATATAAACAAATCTTTACTACGTTAATAAAAACACCGATTAAAATAAAATAAAAAATAAATATATAAGATAAGAAATAAAGAAAAAATAAAACAAGCAAAATAATTTAACCCAAATAAATAAATAAATAAATAGATAAATAAATGACTTCCGGTAAATTAACCGCCAAAATAGACTACCCACAATGCCCCACTGACCCGTATATATAAATAGCCAAGAAAAATGACAGCACTCATGGCCTGACGATGGCATCTAGCATGAAAGAAACTGTTGCCTCTAAGTGTTGACTTCTACGTTCACTTTTTTATATATATATATATATATATATATATATATATATACCCAAGTATATAATTGGTGTATACGGAATGAATTCCAATAAGCAACAATTACTATTCTTAAAAGAGTGCTCAATACAGAGTAGAGCAGATATAATTATTTATTTAAAAAAATTAACAATCCTTCGCAAGGGAAAAACGTTGTTACAAAAGCTCCCGTTGCGAAGGATCATTAATTAATTTGAAACTTTTAAAACCATTTATTTTACATTCAACATCATCACTTGATAAGATACCGGAGGTGTTGAAACAAAATGGCTATTTTTGTAGTGATTGTATAACATATTTATGCTATAATTTTTTTAAATAAATAATTATATGTAAATATCTACATCTCTCTCTATATATAGTACAGATAATAAATCAGTTGGTATATAATCCAAGTGGATCTTATTAATATCAAATATTAAAACTGATCCACAAAGACAGCTCAATGCATTTATTATAAGAGGCCATATAAATGATACAACAAAATTCAAAATTAACTCATATGTTGGGGGATAGATCTATTTTTATTGACGACCATAACTACATTAGTCCTATTTAATCCCGCTCTATAGACTATCTATACACCGGAGTTGAATAACAAAGACATACTTATCAATGTCTAATTGAACATTATCCTATGATAAAATATTACCTTTTTTTACTACAACCAACAGTTTCATTAAAATGGTTTGACATCAATGTATTTAGTCAGTCTATATTCAGCACCTGAAGATCGCGTTTTGTCGTGCTAAGCGTGAGGGATATATATATATATATATATATATATATATATATATATATATATATATATATAAAAAAAAAAAAAACAGTAAGATATAAAATCCGGTGTTCTTATAGATATTTTTATTTTTAAAAAATAGTGCTCAATGTAAATTTACAGAGCATTAATATTATAAATTAATT